AATCTTTCAAAGTTTTTTAAAATGACTTATTCAACATTTGATTAATAAATGGTGAAAATTTAATTTAAAACTGGTAATTTCCTGATTTTTTGGTATTGAGAAACTGATGGGGTATGTGAGTGTGTAAAGCAAAAAAATAAAACTGGATTCAAAAGGCAAAACCAAAGATCAATGTTCTTTTTATCCTGCCTGATTTGAATTTTTTTTTTTTTTTTTTTCAAACTTAAAGAAAAGGAATATAACTCTTTACTGACAATTTCTTAATAGTTTTCTGTTTTTATTTGCTGCATTTAGTTTCAAGTTAACTTTTTTGGTCAATTCTTTTGAAAGATGTGATGAAAGAATTATTGTCAGTTTCTAAATTATTTTGACTTTGCTTTGAAAAAGTTTTATCTATGTCAAACTATTTGTACCAATTTGTTTCCCTGGCTACAGAAAATGAGGACCCAAATCCATGCTCTGACCTCAGCAGACACGTGTGTACATTAATCTGCCCCTCTCGAACAATGAAGTACCCTGGGGAATTTTGCTCCTCCCTCTTACAGTTGGACACACATGCTAACTGCAGGTAATCAATATGGTGTCAATGTTTTCTGCAGAAAATTACTTTATTATTTACCAATATCAACTTAGAAACATAGAATTGGTTATCGTTTAATCTTTTCATTAGCACTTTAGTAATCTGATTGAAAAATGGAACTTTGTTTAACAGCATTCATATAAAAAATATATCTAATGAAAAATGGCAGGAGTAAATTTTACTTTTCCTCCAAGTAAAAAAAAAAATTTTTTTTTTTTTTTTTTTTTTTCATAATTTAACTGACCATGATTATCTAAAACTGATGCCTTGTAAAAGGCCCTTAGGATTTGCCAAAAAATGTATTTTAGCTATTTTCAGCTTCCCATAACTTTGTGATTATGGAACTCTGATCCTCTTAATTGTTGCCCAAATTTTGGTACCTTTTTGAAGGTTTGTGGGTTTTTATTTTTTTCTTAAGGAATTCCTATGAAATATATTTTAAGAAAACGTCAAACTGCACAATCTATGAAGGAAAATGCATTGCCTCCAAATATAAACCTTGTTCAATAAAGAAAATTTAATGAGACTGCATGTCAACATCTTCAATTATGAAAACTTGAAAATAAGGGATTTTTTATTCTCTTTTGCTGAATTACATACAAAACTAAGATTATCAAAACTTTTCTGGTAATTTGAATTTATATATATTACTAAAACTTTTCTATATTCTTTAATAGATTTATCTAATAAAGATATCAATGTAATTTCAGCATATTTGTCTTTTGGCCAATTAAAATCAGATAAAGTATTCCAAAGAAACTTTGCATTAATGCTCTAAAAAATTAAGTTTTGTTTGTAACTTTATTGAACAAACTCTTGCTTAACATTTTAATTACCTACCATGTTCTTTCCCCCCACATCAGCATCCAGTTTGTGAAAAGCTATAATGGCTATTAGATGTGACGGTGGTACTAGGACCACATATAAGGAGAAAGGTGCTTATGTTCAACAAATCACCAGACTTGTTTTCAACTTGGACAAAGGATGGGAGCCTCAGCTTATGAAATAGTTTTTTTTTTTTATTTACTCACGGAAATGCCCTTCTGAAGAATGGTATTAAGACTGCAACAGCCAAACTTGCAAGTTTGGCTGCCTTTTCAAATACAAGATTCTTTTTGAAGTAAGCGTTTTGTTTCATAAACAAATAAGGTAAGTGCAAAGATATAAACTGATTTGAGTTTTTAAATATCCACAAAATATTTTTACATTTTTGGAAGATTTAGTAATTAAGAACCATCAGTTTTGCTTGAATTCCTAGTTGTTTTATATAAATTAGTAAAATAACAAAAGTTGGCAGAAAAAATATCATTTAGAATGTATGATGCAATTTAAGGAATATAAATTTTCTTGATTTAGAAATGCAAGTAACTTGTATAGACATTTGAAAGTGTTTGAATGTTGATTTATTTGTACACAAGTTTATTTGGCAATTGATGATAGTTTCCATAGATTTAGTACATGACAAAACAATGGTTAACGGGTAAACAACTTTAAAGATAGAAACGAAAATAGTACACTTATGGGGGAAAATTTAAAACCAGCTTAATAACTATATAATATAAATTTGATCAAATTAGGCATCAAAGGTTGCTTTTAAAAAAAAAAAGTGTATGAGACTGAAATGTAAGCATTTTATAAAAAAAAAAAAAAAAAGTATATCCATAATTTATCTGAAATTAGTTTCTTAAACCTATTGTAATAGTTAAGGGGAGGTAAAGTTTTTTGAATTCTGAATTACACAGGAACTTAAACTATAATGGGTACTCACGTTTGGCAACATAAAAAAGAGTTATTAGATATAAGCTCATTTCAGAAAAAATTTAAACCTAATGTTTAAAGTAAGATACCAATATATTAAAACATTAATGCATATAAAAAGCAATTTAGCAGACAGCCAAATATGTAGCAAGAAACCACAATAGTTTTCTATTGGTTTCAGTGAGAAAAAATTGCAAGAGAAACTTTTATTTTACAAATAGCAAGCTACCAAGAGTTGAATATTTTTGGTGACCTGTTTTTGTGATTCCCAGCTGATTAATTATAAAATATATTGAACCATATTAAGATGTAATCGATCAACTGGTACTAAAGAACATTGCCAATTCTTTATTATGGTATTGGTAAGAATGTAGTTAGGGCACTTGATAACCATTGAATTTAGGTAAAATTAGCTTAAGGTGTCCTCAACATATATGATGCTGGGAATCTGGAACTGATTACTTTTATTTGTATTATTTGACAGCAATTTTAGTATAGGTTATGTGAAGACCCCTAAATGAATAGGACAGATTGATAAAGGAAAAAAATCAATTGGGTAATTTAGTAAAACTAGAAAGTTCATGATTCTATAACTAGGAGAATAGCTTAATTTTTAATAATTCAGGATTGGTAGTGGAGAAAAATCCAATGGAAGAATCTATCCAAGGCACAACAAACCAAGAAGCGACAGTTGGAAATATTCAGAATGGCCTTTTAATTTCAGTAGCAGATCTCATAGAGTTAAGCAGTATAAACTTTACTTAATAAAAGCAAGAACTAAAGGGGGGATTCTAATGGCCGTATCTTAAAATAAGTTCCAAAATTGTAAGTTAGATATTACAGTTTTAGATATGCCTTTAGTAATGTTTCAAAAAGGAAAATATTTAGAAAGCTCAAATATTTAACTTAGTGCAAAGAATGTTTTGCAAAATAAAAATTCTCAAGTGTTGTAATAAACCTGTGTATAAGGAAGAGAATATACTTTCAAGTATTAAGTTGAGAAGCAAAATGCTGAGGGATATGGATAAAAACAATTTCCTATTTATAGAAAATAACAAGTAAAAGGAAGTTGCATCATAGATTGGAGGAAAATGGTGGCAGCAAGAAGGTACTTCTATTAAAGGTAAGTAAATATTTTATCAACAGAGGGAACATAGCAGCTGAACATTGAATTATTGCATTGACAATAACACTTGGGTAAATTAGCAGCTTTGATTTGGTGGCATGAAAATGTGACTTAGTTTAAGAAACCCTACCTAAGGAAGACCTCATCAAAAAGAAATGGGTTACATTCATAGCAACACACGTAGAGAAGAGTTGTGGCAGCAAATGATAAAATCAGAAGACACAAGGCTGGATGAAATAATGTTTGGATGTACTAGAATGAGAGTGGCAGTGGTAATGTGGAAGTTGTTCTGGTTTGGTAGGCTGGGTCAGAGAATAAAGCCAAATACATCAGCAGGTGTGGAGAAGCAGGGATGGTGGAATGGTACAACTCTAGTAGAGATAGGTAGCAAAAACTTGTTACACAGACATCAGAATCTGTAGAATGAAGCAGCAACAGTGATGAAATGGCAATAGTTGTAACAGCAGCATTGATGTGTCATACAGGAGAAAGAACAGTGCAGGGAGACTACATTGTTGCAGCAATAATCTTCAAATGGAGCCATAATCCAAATGAAGTAAAATAGTGCAGCAAACTGGATATGCAATAGTGGAATATGGCAGTAACTCAGTCATGGTGCAGGCAAAAATAGATATAGTGAAATGGAATTTTAACAGCAACAGGGATGTGCCAGGCAGTAGTATTGAAACACGAACAATTTGAGTGAAACAGCATCCCAGACATGGTGAAATACTCAATACACCTGTGCAATTTAGCAGTAATTACACAATAGTGAAATGATGGAGGGACTTTGGTGAATTAACAGACTTCACATGGTGTGGATCCAGAGAAATGGTAAGTTGAACTCGTTTTAGATTTTGCAGGGACAGAGAATGATGGAACAACTGAGCAAGGACACTATAGAATGGAACAGCGACACATAAGATGAAATGTTGCAACCAAACGTAAGTGGAACAACAGAGCAAGGACACTAGGGAATAGAACAGCAACACAGATATGGTGAAACAAACCAGCAACCCTGATGTGAAAAATGCCATGGAGCGGCAATCCTAAAATGCTGTGAATAGAGAACGGTAAGTTCACCTAGTTACATTTTACAGAGACATAAAGAATAGACCAGCAACACAGACGTGGTGAATCGGTGCTAGAAAAAAAAAAGAATAGACAAGCAGCAGAGATGCTGAAATGGTGCAGCCAAAAATGACAGCGCAAGTAGATAAAGCCAGTATAGAATGGAGCAGCAACCGATATATGGAATGGTACCGCCCAAAGTCACTAGACCAACACAGCATAGACAGAATCGAATTCATTGTCAAAGAATGAATAGAGCAACAACACAATGGTATGGAGCAGCAACAGAGACTGGACATACTGGAATGTTGCAGCAATGAAGATATGGAATGGTGCAGCCAAGAATATATAGAGCAACAGTGCAAGAACACGATGGACTGCAAGAGAATAGACAGTATGGAATAGTACAGCAACTCTGATATAGTATAATACAGCCAAGAAAGAATAGTGCAACCGAGCAAGAACTTAATGGAATGATGCAGCAACCCAAATATGAAATGGCAGAGCGAAGAATGAACAGAGCATGGACTGAATGGAATGGTGCAGCAACCCAGTTATGGTATGGTGCAGCCAAGAAAGAATAGGGCAACCGAGCAGGAACTTAATGGAATGCAGCAGCAACCTCAGTGTGGAATGATGCAGCAACCCAGTTATGAAATGGTACATCCGAAAATGAACAGAGCAAGAACACAGTGGAATAGTCCAGCGTGAAATGAACAGAACACAGCAAGAACATAATGGTATGGAGCAGCAACCCAGATATGAGATGGTGCAGCCAAGAATGGATACAGCAACTACACAAGGGAATTGAGCAGCAACAGGGGATGGACAGAATGTAATGCGACAGCAATCAAGATATGGAATGGTGCAACCAAGAATGGAATAGAGAAACACGACAAGAGCACAATGGATTGGATCAGCAACAGAGCATGATCGGAATGGTGCAGCCAAGAAAGAATAGAGCAAGGACACAATGGAATGGATCAGCAATACAGTATGGTGAAACTAAGCAGCAGTTCCGATGTACTGAAAAGGTACAACCCGAAATGAATGGAACAAACAGCAATGATAAAAGGCAATGGATCAGAAAACTGGTTATTATGAATGAAGTGACCGGCTTAGTATGGTGTACAAGGACAAGAATGGTAAGTACAAATCTTTTTAGATTTTGCAGGGACATGGACAATGAAGCTGCAACCAAAGTGTGGTGAAGTAGGACACGCAGAAATAAATAGTACAGTGGCATGATGGAATGTAGCAGGAACCGAGATATGGAATGGTACAGCCCGAAGTCACTAGAGCAACACAGCAGGAAGACAATGGACAGCAGCAGCTACAGGGCATAGACAGAATGGAATTCATTGTCCAAGGATGAATAGAGCAACAACACAATGGTATGGAGCAGCAACAGAGACTGGACATACTGGAATGGTACAGCCAAGAATATATAGAGCAACAGTGCAACAACACGATGGACTGCAAGAGAATGGACAGTAAGGAATAGTACAGCAACCCTGATATTATATGATACAGCCAAGAAAGAATAAGCGCAACCGAGCAAGAACTTAATGGAATGATGCAACAACACAAATATGGAATGGCAGAGCAAAAGAATGAACAGAGCATGGACTGAATGGAATGGTGCAGCAACCCAGTTATGGTATGGTGCAGCAACCCAGTTATGGTATGGTGCAGCCAAGAAAGAATAGGGCAACCGAGCAGGAACTTAATGGAATGCAGCAGCAACCTCAGTGTGGAATGATGCAGCAACCCAGATATGGAATGGTGACGACAAGAAGGAACAGAGCATGGACTGAATGGGATGGTGCAGCCAAGAATGGATACAGCAACTACACAAGGGAAACGAGCAGCAACAGAGGATGGACAGAATGGAATGCTACAGCAATCAAGATATGGAATGGTGCAACCAAGAATGGAATAGAGAAACACGACAAGAGCACAATGGATTGGATCAGCAACAGAGCATGATCGGAATGGTGCAGCCAAGAAAGAATAGAGCAAGGACACAATGGAATGGATCAGCAATACAGTATGGTGAAACTAAGCAGCAGTTCCGATGTACTGAAAAGGTACAACCCGAAATGAATGGAACAAACAGCAATGATAAAAGGCAATGGATCAGAAAACTGGTTATTATGAATGAAGTGACCGGCTTAGTATGGTGTACAAGGACAAGAATGGTAAGTACAAATCTTTTTAGATTTTGCAGGGACATGGACAATGAAGCTGCAACCAAAGTGTGGTGAAGTAGGACACGCAGAAATAAATAGTACAGTGGCATGATGGAATGTAGCAGGAACCGAGATATGGAATGGTACAGCCGAAGTCACTAGAGCAACACAGCAGGAAGACAATGGACAGCAGCAGCTACAGGGCATAGACAGAATGGAATTCATTGTCCAAGGATGAATAGAGCAACAACACAATGGTATGGAGCAGCAACAGAGACTGGACATACTGGAATGGTACAGCCAAGAATATATAGAGCAACAGTGCAACAACACGATGGACTGCAAGAGAATGGACAGTAAGGAATAGTACAGCAACCCTGATATTATATGATACAGCCAAGAAAGAATAGCGCAACCGAGCAAGAACTTAATGGAATGATGCAACAACACAAATATGGAATGGCAGAGCAAAGAATGAACAGAGCATGGACTGAATGGAATGGTGCAGCAACCCAGTTATGGTATGGTGCAGCAACCCAGTTATGGTATGGTGCAGCCAAGAAAGAATAGGTCAACCGAGCAGGAACTTAATGGAATGCAGCAGCAACCTCAGTGTGGAATGATGCAGCAACCCAGATATGGAATGGTGACGACAAGAAGGAACAGAGCATGGACTGAATGGGATGGTGCAGCCAAGAATGGATACAACAACTACACAAAGGGAAACGAGCAGCAACAGAGGATGGACAGAATGGAATGCTACAGCAATCAAGATATGGAATGGTGCAGCCAAGAATGGAATAGAGAAACACGACAAGAGCACAATGGATTGGATCAGCAACAGAGCATGATCGGAATGGTGCAACCAAGAAAAAGAAAAGAATAGAGCAAGGACACAATGGAATGGATCAGCAATACAGTATGGTGAAACTAAGCAGCAGTTCGATGTACTGAAAAGGTGCAACCGAAATGAATGGAACAAACAGCAATGATAAAAGGCAATGGATCAGAAAACTGGTTATTATGAATGAAGTGACCGGCTTGGTATGGTGTACAAGGACAAGAATGGTAAAGTACAAATCTTTTTAGATTTTGCAGGGACATGGACAATGAAGCTGCAACCAAAGTGTGGTGAAGTAGGACACAGAAATAAATAGTACAGTGGCATGATGGAATGTAGCAGGAACCGAGATATGGAATGGTACAGCCGAAGTCACTAGAGCAACACAGCAGGAAGACAATGGACAGCAGCAGCTACAGGGCATAGACAGAATGGAATTCATTGTCCAAGGATGAATAGAGCAACAACACAATGGTATGGAGCAGCAACAGAGACTGGACATACTGGAATGGTACAGCCAAGAATATATAGAGCAACAGTGCAACAACACGATGGACTGCAAGAGAATGGACAGTAAGGAATAGTACAGCAACCCTGATATTATATGATACAGCCAAGAAAGAATAAGCGCAACCGAGCAAGAACTTAATGGAATGATGCAACAACACAAATATGGAATGGCAGAGCAAAAGAATGAACAGAGCATGGACTGAATGGAATGGTGCAGCAACCCAGTTATGGTATGGTGCAGCAACCCAGTTATGGTATGGTGCAGCCAAGAAAGAATAGGGCAACCGAGCAGGAACTTAATGGAATGCAGCAGCAACCTCAGTGTGGAATGATGCAGCAACCCAGATATGGAATGGTGACGACAAGAAGGAACAGAGCATGGACTGAATGGGATGGTGCAGCCAAGAATGGATACAGCAACTACACAAGGGAAACGAGCAGCAACAGAGGATGGACAGAATGGAATGCTACAGCAATCAAGATATGGAATGGTGCAGCCAAGAATGGAATAGAGAAACACGACAAGAGCACAATGGATTGGATCAGCAACAGAGCATGATCGGAATGGTGCAACCAAGAAAGAATAGCGCAATAGAGCAAGGACACAATGGAATGGATCAGCAATACAGTATGGTGAAACTAAGCAGCAGTTCCGATGTACTGAAAAGGTGCAGCCCGAAATGAATGGAACAAACAGCAATGATAAAAAGCAATGGATCAGAAAACTGGTTATTATGAATGAAGTGACCGGCTTGGTATGGTGTACAAGGACAAGAATGGTAAGTACAAATCTTTTTAGATTTTGCAGGGACATGGACAATGAAGCTGCAACCAAAGTGTGGTGAAGTAGGACACGCAGAAATAAATAGTACAGTGGCATGATGGAATGTAGCAGGAACCGAGATATGGAATGGTACAGCCCGAAGTCACTAGAGCAACACAGCAGGAAGACAATGGACAGCAGCAGCTACAGGGCATAGACAGAATGGAATTCATTGTCCAAGGATGAATAGAGCAACAACACAATGGTATGGAGCAGCAACAGAGACTGGACATACTGGAATGGTACAGCCAAGAATATATAGAGCAACAGTGCAACAACAAGAGAATACCGAGCAGGAACTTAATGGAACGATGGACTGGACTGCAAGAGAATGGACAGTAATGGGAATAGTACAGCAACCCTGATATTATATGCATGGACTGAATGGGACAGCCAAGAAAGAATAAGGCGAGCAGCAACAGAGGATGGACAGAAGCAAGAACTTAATGGAATGATGCAACAACACAAATATGGAATGGCAGAGCAAAAGAATGAACAGAGCATGGACTGAATGGAATGGTGCAGCAACCTTCAGTTATGGTATGGTGCAGCAACCCAGTGGTTATGGTATGGTGCAGCCAAGAAAGAATAGGGCAACAGGGCATAGACAGCAGGAACTTAATGGAAACACAATGGCAGCAACCTCAGTGTGGAATGATGCAGCAACCCAGTTATGGAATGGTGAAGACAAGAAGGAACAGATGGCATGGACTGAATGGGATGGTGCAGCCAAGAATGGATACAGCAACTACACAAGGGAAACGAGCAGCAACAGAGGATGGACAGAATGGAATGCTACAGCAATCAAGATAGGGAATGGTGCAGCCAAGAATGGAATAGAGAAACACGACAAGAGCACAATGGATTGGATCAGCAACAGAGCATGATCGGAATGGTGCAACCAAGAAAGAATAAGCAGCAATCAATAGAGCAAGGACACAATGGAATGGATCAGCAATACAGTATGGTGAAACTAAGCAGCAGTTCCAATGTACTGAAAAGGTGCAGCCCGAAATGAATGGAACAAACAGCAATGATAAAAAGCAATGGATCAGAAAACTGGTTATTATGAATGAAGTGACCGGCTTGGTATGGTGTACAAGGACAAGAATGGTAAGTACAAATCTTTTTAGATTTTGCAGGGACATGGACAATGAAGCTGCAACCAAAGTGTGATGAAGTAGGACACGCAGAAATAAATAGTACAGTGGCATGATGGAATGTAGCAGGAACCGAGATATGGAATGGTACAACCCGAAGTCACTAGAGCAACACAGCAGGAAGACAATGGACAGCAGCAGCTACAGGGCATCGACAGAATGGAATTCATTGTCCAAGGATGAATAGAGCAACAACACAATGGTATGGAGCAGCAACAGAGACTGGACATACTGGAATGGTACAGCCAAGAATATATAGAGCAACAGTGCAACAACACGATGGACTGCAAGAGAATGGACAGTAAGGAATAGTACAGCAACCCTGATATTATATGATACAGCCAAGAAAGAATAGCGCAACCGAGCAAGAACTTAATGGAATGATGCAACAACACAAATATGGAATGGCAGAGCAAAGAATGAACAGAGCATGGACTGAATGGAATGGTGCAGCAACCCAGTTATGGAATGGTGCAGCAACCCAGTTATGGTATGGTGCAGCCAAGAAAGAATAGGGCAACCGAGCAGGAACTTAATGGAATGCAGCAGCAACCTCAGTGTGGAATGATGCAGCAACCCAGATATGGAATGGTGACGACAAGAAGGAACAGAGCATGGACTGAATGGGATGGTGCAGCCAAGAATGGATACAGCAACTACACAAGGGAAACGAGCAGCAACAGAGGATGGACAGAATGGAATGCTGCAGCAATCAAGATATGGAATGGTGCAACCAAGAATGGAATAGAGAAACACGACAAGAGCACAATGGATTGGATCAGCAACAGAGCATGATCGGAATGGTGCAACCAAGAAAGAATAGCGCAATAGAGCAAGGACACAATGGAATGGATCAGCAATACAGTATGGTGAAACTAAGCAGCAGTTCCGATGTACTGAAAAGGTGCAGCCCGAAATGAATGGAACAAACAGCAATGATAAAAAGCAATGGATCAGAAAACTGGTTATTATGAATGAAGTGACCGGCTTGGTATGGTGTACAAGGACAAGAATGGTAAGTTCAAATCTTCTTAGATTTTGCAGGGACATGTACAATGAAGCTGCAACCAAAGTGTGATGAAGTAGGACACGCAGAAATAAGTAGTACAGTGGCAGAATGGAATGTAGCAGCAACCTCAGTGTGGAATGATGCAGGAACCCAGTTATGAAATGGTACATCCGAAAATGAACAGAGCAAGAACACAGTGGAATAGTCCAGCGTGAAATGAACAGAACACAGTAAGAACATAATGGTATGGAGCAGCAACCCAGATATGGAATGGTGACAATAAGAAGGAACAGAGCATGGACTGAATGGGATGGTGCAGCCAAGAATGGATACAGCAACTACACAAGGGAATTGAGCAGCAACAGGGGATGGACAGAATGTAATGCGACAGCAATCAAGATATGGAATGGTGCAACCAAGAATGGAATAGAGAAACACGACAAGAGCACAATGGATTGGATCAGCAACAGAGCATGATCGGAATGGTGCAGCCAAGAAAGAATAGAGCAAGGACACAATGGAATGGATCAGCAATACAGTATGGTGAAACTAAGCAGCAGTTCCGATGTACTGAAAAGGTGCAACCCGAAATGAATGGAACAAACAGCAATGATAAAAGGCAATGGAGCAGAAAACTGGTTATTATGAATGAAGTGACCGGCTTGGTATGGTGTACAAGGACAAGAATGGTAAGTACAAATCTTTTTAGATTTTGCAGGGACATGGACAATGAAGCTGCAACCAAAGTGTGATGAAGTAGGACACGCAGAAATAAATAGTACAGTGGCATGATGGAATGTAGCAGGAACCGAGATATGGAATGGTACAGCCCGAAGTCACTAGAGCAACACAGCAGGAAGACAATGGACAGCAGCAGCTACAGGGCATAGACAGAATGGAATTCATTGTCCAAGGATGAATAGAGCAACAACACAATGGTATGGAGCAGCAACAGAGACTGGACATACTGGAATGGTACAGCCAAGAATATATAGAGCAACAGTGCAACAACACGATGGACTGCAAGAGAATGGACAGTAAGGAATAGTACAGCAACCCTGATATTATATGATACAGCCAAGAAAGAATAGCGCAACCGAGCAAGAACTTAATGGAATGATGCAACAACACAAATATGGAATGGCAGAGCAAAGAATGAACAGAGCATGGACTGAATGGAATGGTGCAGCAACCCAGTTATGGTATGGTGCAGCAACCCAGTTATGGTATGGTGCAGCCAAGAAAGAATAGGGCAACCGAGCAGGAACTTAATGGAATGCAGCAGCAACCTCAGTGTGGAATGATGCAGCAACCCAGATATGGAATGGTGAAGACAAGAAGGAACAGAGCATGGACTGAATGGGATGGTGCAGCCAAGAATGGATACAGCAACTACACAAGGGAAACGAGCAGCAACAGAGGATGGACAGAATGGAATGCTACAGCAATCAAGATAGGGAATGGTGCAGCCAAGAATGGAATAGAGAAACACGACAAGAGCACAATGGATTGGATCAGCAACAGAGCATGATCGGAATGGTGCAACCAAGAAAGAATAGCGCAATAGAGCAAGGACACAATGGAATGGATCAGCAATACAGTATGGTGAAACTAAGCAGCAGTTCAATGTACTGAAAAGGTGCAGCCGAAATGAATGGAACAAACAGCAATGATAAAAAAGCAATGGATCAGAAAACTGGTTATTATGAATGAAGTGACCGGCTTGGTATGGTGTACAAGGACAAGAATGGTAAGTACAAATCTTTTTAGATTTTGCAGGGACATGGACAATGAAGCTGCAACCAAAGTGTGATGAAGTAGGACACGCAGAAATAAATAGTACAGTGGCATGATGGAATGTAGCAGGAACCGAGATATGGAATGGTACAGCCCGAAGTCACTAGAGCAACACAGCAGGAAGACAATGGACAGCAGCAGCTACAGGGCATAGACAGAATGGAATTCATTGTCCAAGGATGAATAGAGCAACAACACAATGGTATGGTGCAGCAACAGAGACTGGACATACTGGAATGGTACAGCCAAGAATATATAGTGCAACAACACGATGGACTGCAAGAGAATGGACAGTAAGGAATAGTACAGCAACCCTGATATTATATGATACAGCCAAGAAAGAATAGCGCAACCGAGCAAGAACTTAATGGAATGATGCAACAACACAAATATGGAATGGCAGAGCAAAGAATGAACAGAGCATGGACTGAATGGAATGGTGCAGCAACCCAGTTATGGTATGGTGCAGCAACCAGTTATGGTATGGTGCAGCCAAGAAAGAATAGGGCAACCGAGCAGGAACTTAATGGAATGCAGCAGCAACCTCAGTGTGGAATGATGCAGCAAACCAGTTATGGAATGGTGAAGACAAGAAGGAACAGAGCATGGACTGAATGGGATGGTGCAGCCAAGAATGGATACAGCAACTACACAAGGGAAACGAGCAGCAACAGAGGATGGACAGAATGGAATGCTACAGCAATCAAGATAGGGAATGGTGCAGCCAAGAATGGAATAGAGAAACACGACAAGAGCACAATGGATTGGATCAGCAACAGGGCATGATCGGAACGGTGCAGCCAAGAAAGAATAGTGCAATAGAGCAAGGACACAATGGAATGGATCAGCAATACAGTATGGTGAAACTAAGCAGCAGTTCCGATGTACTGAAAAGGTGCAACCCGAAATGAATGGAACAAACAGCAATGATAAAAGGCAATGGAGCAGAAAACTGGTTATTATGAATGAAGTGACCGGCTTGGTATGGTGTACAAGGACAAGAATGGTAAGTACAAATCTTTTTAGATTTTGCAGGGACATGGACAATGAAGCTGCAACCAAAGTGTGATGAAGTAGGACACGCAGAAATAAATAGTACAGTGGCATGATGGAATGTAGCAGGAACCGAGATATGGAATGGTACAGCCCGAAGTCACTAGAGCAACACAGCAGGAAGACAATGGACAGCAGCAGCTACAGGGCATAGACAGAATGGAATTCATTGTCCAAGGATGAATAGAGCAACAACACAATGGTATGGAGCAGCAACAGAGACTGGACATACTGGAATGGTACAGCCAAGAATATATAGAGCAACAGTGCAACAACATGATGGACTGCAAGAGAATGGACAGTGAGGAATAGTACAGCAACCCTGATATTGTATGATACAGCCAAGAAAGAATAGCGGAACCGAGCAAGAACTTAATGGAATGATGCAGCAACACAAATATGGAATGGCAGAGCATAGAATGAACAGAGCGTGGACTGAATGGAATGGTGCAGCAACCCAGTTATGGTATGGTACATCCGAAAATGAACAGAGCAAGAACACACTGGAATGGTCCGGCGTGAAATGAACAGAACACAGCAAGAACATAATGGTATGGAGCAGCAACCCAGATATGTAATGGTGAAGACAAGAAGGAACAGAGCATGTACTGAATGGGATGGTGCAGCAAGAACATAATGTAATGGTGCAGCCAAGAATGGATACAGCAACTACACAAGGGAAACGAGCAGCAACAGAGGATGGACAGAATGGAATGCTACAGCAATCAAGATATGGAATGGTGCAGCCAAGAATTGAATAGAGAAACACGACAAGAGCACAATGGATTGGATCAGCAACAGAGCATGATCGGAATGGTGCAGCCAAGAAAGAATAGAGCAAGGACACAATGGAATGGATCACCAATACAGTATGGTGAAACTAAGCAGCAGTTCCGATGTACTGAAAAGGTGCAGCCCGAAATGAATGGAACAAACACCAATGATAAAAAGCAATGGATCAGAAAACTGGTTATTATGAATGAAGTGACCGGCTTGGTATGGTGTACAAGGACAAGAATGGTAAGTTCAAATCTTCTTGGATTTTGCAGGTACATGGACAATGAAGCTGCAACCAAAGTGTGATGAAGTTGTGCACGCAGAAATAAGTAGTACAGTGGCAGAATGGAATGTAGCAGCAACCCAGATATGATGAAATGATTCGCCAAAGATTGGAATGGAGTAACAGAGCAAGTCTAGGATGGAGCAGCAACCCAGATATGGAATGGTACAGCCCGAAGCCACTAGAGCAACACAGCAGGTGCACAATGGACAGCAGCAGCTACACAGCATGGACAGAATGGAATTCATTATCCAAGGATGAATACAGCAACAACACAATGGTATGGAGCAGCAACAGAGACTGGACATACTGGAATGGTACAGCCAAGAATATATAGAGCAACAGTGCAACAACATGATGGACTGCAAGAGAATGGACAGTGAGGAATAGTACAGCAACCCTGATATTGTATGATACAGCCAAGAAAGAATAGCGGAACCGAGCAAGAACTTAATGGAATGATGCAGCAACACAAATATGGAATGGCAGAGCATAGAATGAACAGAGCGTGGACTGAATGGAATGGTGCAGCAACCCAGTTATGGTATGGTACATCCGAAAATGAACAGAGCAAGAACACACTGGAATGGTCCGGCGTGAAATGAACAGAACACAGCAAGAACATAATGGTATGGAGCAGCAACCCAGATATGTAATGGTGAAGACAAGAAGGAACAGAGCATGTACTGAATGGGATGGTGCAGCAAGAACATAATGTAATGGTGCAGCCAAGAATGGATACAGCAACTACACAAGGGAATTGAGCAGCAACAGGGGATGGACAGAATGGAATGCTACAGCAATCAAGATATGGAATGGTGCAACCAAGAATGGAATAGAGAAACACGACAAGAGCACAATGGATTGGATCAGCAACAGGGCATGATCGGAACGGTGCAGCCAAGAAAGAATAGTGCAATAGAGCAAGGACACAATGGAATGGATCAGCAATACAGTATGGTGAAACTAAGCAGCAGTTCCGATGTACTGAAAAGGTGCAGCACGAAATGAATGGAACAAACAGCAATGATAAAAAGCAATGGATCAGAAAACTGGTTATTATGAATGACGTGACCGGCTTGGTATGGTGTACAAGGACAAGAATGGTAAGTTCAAATCTTCTTAGATTTTGCAGGGACATGGACAATGAAGCTGCAACCAAAGTGTGATGAAGTGGTGCACGCAGAAATAAGTAGTACAGTGGCATGATGGAATGTAGCAGCAACCCAGATATGATGAAATGATTCGCCAAGGATTGGAATGTAGTAACAGAGCAAGTCTAGGATGGAGCAGCAACCCAGATATGGAATGGTACAGCCCAAAGTCACTAGAGCAACACAGCAGGTACACAGCATAGACAGAATGGAATTCATTATCCAAGGATGAATACAGCAACAACACAATGGTATGGTGCAGCAACAGAGACTGGACATACTGGAATGGTACAGCCAAGAATATATAGAGCAACAGTGCAACAACACGATGGACTGCAAGAGAATGGACAGTAAGGAATAGTACAGCAACCCTGATATTGTATGATACAGCCAAGAAAGAATAGCGGAACCGAGCAAGAACTTAATGGAATAATGCAGCAACACAAATATGGAATGGCAGAGCAAAGAATGAACAGAGCATGGACTGAATGGAATGGTGCAGCAACCCAGTTATGGTATGGTGCAGCAACCCAGTTATGGTATGGTGCAGCCAAGAAAGAATAGGGCAACCGAGCAGGAACTTAATGGAATGCAGCAGCAACCTCAGTGTGGAATGATGCAGCAACCCTGTTATGGAATGGTACATCCGAAAATGAACAGAGCAAGAACACAGTGGAATGGTCCGGCGTGAAATGAACAGAACACAGCAAGAACATAATGGTATGGAGCAGCAACCCAGATATGTAATGGTGAAGACAAGAAGGAACAGAGCATGGACTGAATGGGATGGTGCAGCCAAGAATGGATACAGCAACTACACAAGGGAATTGAGCAGCAACAGGGGATGGACAGAATGGAATGCTACAGCAATCAAGATATGGAATGGTGCAACCAAGAATGGAATAGAGAAACACGACAAGAGCACAATGGATTGGATCAGCAACAGGGCATGATCGGAACGGTGCAGCCAAGAAAGAATAGTGCAATAGAGCAAGGACACAATGGAATGGATCAGCAATACAGTATGGTGAAACTAAGCAGCAGTTCCGATGTACTGAAAAGGTGCAGCACGAAATGAATGGAACAAACAGCAATGATAAAAAGCAATGGATCAGAAAACTGGTTATTATGAATGACGTGACCGGCTTGGTATGGTGTACAAGGACAAGAATGGTAAGTTCAAATCTTCTTAGATTTTGCAGGGACATGGACAATGAAGCTGCAACCAAAGTGTGATGAAGTGGTGCACGCAGAAATAAGTAGTACAGTGGCATGATGGAATGTAGCAGCAACCCAGATATGATGAAATGATTCGCCAAGGATTGGAATGTAGTAACAGAGCAAGTCTAGGATGGAGCAGCAACCCAGATATGGAATGGTACAGCCCAAAGTCACTAGAGCAACACAGCAGGAACACAATGGACAGCAGCAGCTACACAGCATAGACAGAGTGGAATTCATTGTCCAAGGATGAATAGAGCAACAACACAATGGTATGGAGCAGCAACAGAGACTGGACATACTGGAATGGTACAGCCAAGAATATATAGAGCAACAGTGCAACAACACGATGGACTGCAAGAGAATGGACAGTAAGGAATAGTACAGCAACCCTGATATTGTATGATACAGCCAAGAAAGAATAGCGCAACCGAGCAAGAACTTAATGGAATGATGCAGCAACAGAAATATGGAATGGTGTGGCAACCCAGTTATGGTATGGTGCAGCCAAGAAAGAATAGGGCAACCGAGCAGGAACTTAATGGAATGCAGCAGCAACCTCAGTGTGGAATGATGCAGCAACCCAGTTATGAAATGGTGCATCCGAAAATGAACAGAACACAGCAAGAACACAGTGGAATGGTCCGGCGTGAAATGAACAGAACACAGCAAGAACATAATTGTATGGAGTATCAACCCAGATATGGAATGGTGAAGACAAGAAGGAACAGAGCATGGACTGAATGGGATGGTGCAGCCAAGAATGGATACAGCAACTACACAAGGGAAACGAGCAGCAACAGAGGATGGACAAAATGGAATGCTACAGCAATCAAGATATGGAATGGTGCAGCCAAGAATGGGATAGAGAAACACGACAAGAGCACAATGGATGGGATCACCAACAGAGCATGATCGGAATGGTGCAGCCAAGAAAGAATAGTGCAATAGAGCAAAAGACACAATGGAATGGATCAGCAATATAGTATGGTGAAACTAAGCAGCAGTTCGATGTACTGAAAAGGTGAGCCGAAATGAATGGAATATACAGCAATGATAAAAGGCAATGGAGCAATGAAAACAAAAGATTTTGCAGGGAATGGAGCTAACAGAAAACTGCATGTTGGAATTATGAATGAAGTGACTGGACAGCATTATGGTGTACAAGGACAAGAATGGTAACAACACAATGGTATACAAATCTTCTTAGATTTTGGACATGGACAATGAAGCTGCAACAAAGTGTGATGAAGTATGGTGAGAAATAGGCAGTACAACATGATGGAATGTGGAATGCAGAAACCCAGATATGATGAAATGATCCGAAAATGCCAAAGATTGGAATGGAGTAACAGAGCAAGTCTAGGATGGAGCAGCAACCCAGATATTGAATGGTGAATGGGCAGAAAAAAGTCACTAGAGCAACACAGCAGGAACACAATGGACAGCAGCACAATGGATTGGATACACAGCATAGACAGAGTGGAATTCATTGTCCAAGGATGAATAGAGCAACAACACAATGGTATGGAGCAGCAACAGAGACTGGACATACTGGAATGGTACAGCCAAGAATATATAGAGCAACAGTGCAACAACACGATGGACTGCAAGAGAATGGACAGTAAGGAATAGTACAGCAACCCTGATATTGTATGATACAGCCAAGAAAGAATAGCGCAACCGAGCAAGAACTTAATGGAATGATGCAGCAACAGAAATATGGAATGGTGTGGCAACCCAGTTATGGTATGGTGCAGCCAAGAAAGAATAGGGCAACCGAGCAGGAACTTAATGGAATGCAGCAGCAACCTCAGTGTGGAATGATGCAGCAACCCAGTTATGAAATGGTGCATCCGAAAATGAACAGAAGAACAGCAAGAACACAGTGGAATGGTATGGAGCAACAACAACCTCCAGCAAGAACATAATGGTATGGAGGCAACCCAGATATGTAATGGTGAAGACAAGAAGGAACAGAGCATGGACTGAATGGGATGGTGCAGCCAAGAATGGATACAACAACTACACAAGGAAACTAGCAGCAACAGAGGATGGACAAAATGGAATGCTACAGCAATCAAGATATGGAATGGTGCAACCAAGAATGGAATAGAAACACGACAAGAGCACAATGGATTGGATCAGCAACAGGGCATGATGAGGAATGGTGCAACCAGGAAAGAATAAGCGCAATAGAGCAAGGACACAATGGAATGGATCAGCAATACAGTATGGTGAAACTAAGCAGCAGTTCGATGTACTGAAAAGGTGCAGCCCGAAATGAATGGAACAAACAGCAATGATAAAAGGCAATGGAGCAGAAAACTGGTTATTATGAATGAAGTGACCGGCTTGGTATGGTGTACAAGGACAAGAATGGTAAGTACAAATCTTCTTAGATTTTGCAGGGACATGGACAATGAAGCTGCAACCAAAGTGTGATGAAGTGGTGCACGCAGAAATAAGTAGTACAGTGGCATGATGGAATGTAGCAGCAACCCAGATATGATGAAATGATTCGCCAAAGATTGGAATGGAGTAACAGAGCAAGTCTAGGATGGAGCAGCAACCCAGATATTGAATGGTACAGCCCAAAGTCACTAGAGCAACACAGCAGGAACACAGCATAGACAGAATGGAATTCATTGTCCAAGGATGAATAGAGCAACAACACAATGGTATGGAGCAGCAACAGAGACTGGACATACTGGAATGGTGCAGCAATGAAGATATGGAATGGTGCAGCCAAGAATATTTAGAGCAACAGTGCAACAACACGATGGACTGCAAGCGAATGGACAGTAAGGAATAGTACAGCAACCCTGATATTGTATGATACAGCCAAGAAAGAATAGGGCAACCGAGCAAGAACTTAATGGAATGATGCAGCAACACAAATATGGAATGGCAGAGCAAAGAATAAACAGAGCATGGACTGAATGGAATGGTACAGCAGCCCAGATGTGGAATGGTGCAGAGAGAAATGAATACAACAGAGCAAGAACATAATGGAATGGAGCAGCAACCCAGTTGTGATGTGGTGAACTCAAGAAAGAATAGGGCAACCCAGCAAGAACTTTATGGAATGATGCAGCAACACAAATATGGAATGGCAGAGCAAAGAATGAGCAGAGCATGGACTGAATGGAATGGTACAGCAGCCCAGATGTGTAATGGTGCAGAGAGAAATGAATACAACAGAGCAAGAACATAATGGAATGGAGCAGCAACCCTGATATGGTATGGTGCAGCCAAGAAAGAATAGGGCAACTGAGCAGGAACTTAATGTAATGCAGCAGCAACCTCAGTGTGGAATGGTGCAGGAACCCAGTTATGAAATGGTACTTCCGAAAATGAACAGAGCAAGAACACAGTGGAATGGTGCGGCGTGAAATGAACAGAACACAGCAAGAACATAATGATATGGAGCAGCAACCCAGATATGGAATGGTGAAGACAAGAAGGAACAGAACATGGACTGAATGGGATGGTGCAGCAAGAACATAATGTAATGGTGCAGCCAAGAATGGATACAGCAACTACACAAGGGAATTGAGCAGCAACAGAGGATGGACAGAATGGAATGCTACAGCAATCAACATATGGAATGGTGCAACCAAGAATGGAATAGAGAAACACGACAAGAGCACAATGGATTGGATCAGCAACAGAGCATGATCGGAATGGTGCAACCAAGAAAGAATAGCGCAATAGAGCAAGGACACAATGGAATGGATCAGCAATACAGTATGGTGAAACTAAGCAGCAGTTCCGATGTACTGAAAAGGTGCAGCCCGAAATGAATGGAACAAACAGCAATGATAAAAGGCAATGGAGCAGAAAACTGGTTATTATGAATGAAGTGACCGGCTTGGTGTAACAACACAATGGTATGGAGCAGCAACAGAGACTGGACATACTGGAATGGTGCAGCAATGAAGATATGGAATGGTGCAGCCAAGAATATTTAGAGCAACGGTGCAACAACACGATGGACTGCAAGAGAATGGACAGTGAGGAATAGTACAGCAACCCTGATATTGTATGATACAGCCAAGAAAGAATAGCGCAACCGAGCAAGAACTTAATGGAATAATGCAGCAACACAAATATGGAATGGTGCAGCAACCCAGTTATGGTATGGTGCAGCAACCCTGTTATGGTATGGTGCAGCCAAGAAAGAATAGGGCAACCGAGCAGGAACTTAATGGAATGCAGCAACCTCAGTGTGGAATGATGCAGCAACCCAGTTACGAAATGGTGCATCCGAAAATGAACAGAGCAAGAACATAATGGTATGGAGCAGCAACCCAGATACGTAATGGTGAAGACAAGAATGAACAGAGCATGGTCTGAATGGGATGGTGCAGCCAAGAATGGATACAGCAACTACACAAGGGAAACTAGCAGCAACAGAGGATGGACAAAATGGAATGCTACAGCAATCAAGATATGGAATGGTGCAACCAAGAATGGAATAGAGAAACACGACAAGAGCACAATGGATTGGATCAGCAACAGAGCATGATCGGAATGGTGCAACCAGGAAAGAATAGCGCAATAGAGCAAGGACACAATGGAATGGATCAGCAATACAGTATGGTGAAACTAAGCAGCAGTTCCGATGTACTGAAATGGTGCAGCCCGAAATGAATGGAACAAACAGCAATGATAAAAGGCAATGGAGCAGAAAACTGGTTATTATGAATGACGTGACCGGCTTGGTATGGTGTACAAGGACAAGAATGGTAAGTTCAAATCTTCTTAGATTTTGCAGGGACATGGACAATGAAGCTGCAAACAAAGTGTGATGAAGTGGTGCACGCAGAGAAATAAGTAGTACAGTGGCATGATGGAATGTAGCAGCAACCCAGATATGATGAAATGATTAGCAAAAGATTGGAATGGAGTAACAGAGCAAGTCTAGGATGGAGCAGCAACCCAGATATTGAATGGTACAGCCCAAAGTCACTAGAGCAACACAGCAGGAACACAGCATAGACAGAATGGAATTCATTGTCCAAGGATGAATAGAGCAACAACACAATGGTATGGAGCAGCAACAGAGACTGGACATACTGGAATGGTGCAGCAATGAAGATATGGAATGGTGCAGCCAAGAATATTTAAAGCAACAGTGCAACAACACGATGGACTGCAAAGCGAATGGACAGTAAGGAATAGTACAGCAACCCTGATATTGTATGATACAGCCAAGAAAAAAATAGGGCAACCGAGCAAGAACTTAATGGAATGATGCAGCAACACAAATATGGAATGGCAGAGCAAAGAATAAACAGAGCATGGACTGAATGGAATGGTACAGCAGCCCAGATGTGGAATGGTGCAGAGAGAAATGAATACAACAGAGCAAGAACATAATGGAATGGAGCAGCAACCCTGATATGGTATGGTGCAGCCAAGAAAGAATAGGGCAACCGAGCAGGAACTTAATGTAATGCAGCAGCAACCTCAGTGTGGAATGGTGCAGGAACCCAGTTATGAAATGGTACTTCCGAAAATGAACAGAGCAAGAACATAATGATATGGAGCAGCAACCCAGATATGGAATGGTGAAGACAAGAAGGAACAGAACATGGACTGAATGGGATGGTGCAGCAAGAACATAATGTAATGGTGCAGCCAAGAAAGGATACAGCAACTACACAAGGGAATTGAGCAGCAACAGAGGATGGACAGAATGGAATGCTACAGCAATCAAGATATGGAATGGTGCAACCAAGAATGGAATAGAGAAACACAACAAGAGCACAATGGATTGGATCAGCAACAGAGCATGATCGGAATGGTGCAACCAGGAAAGAATAGCGCAATAGAGCAAGGACACAATGGAATGGATCAGCAATACAGTATGGTGAAACTAAGCAGCAGTTCCGATGTACTGAAAAGTTGCAGCCCGAACTGAATGGAACAAACAGCAATGATAAAAGGCAATGGAGCAGAAAACTGGTTATTATGAATGAAGTGACCGGCTTCGTATGGTGTACAAGGACAAGAATGGTAAGTACAAATCTTCTTAGATTTTGCAGGGACATGGACAATGAAGCTGCAACCAAAGTGTGATGAAGTGGTGCACGCAGAAATAAGTAGTACAGTAGCATGATGGAATGTAGCAGCAACCCAGATATGATGAAATGATTCGCCAAAGATTGGAATGGAGTAACAGAGCAAGTCTAGGATGGAGCAGCAACCCAGATATTGAATGGTACAGCCCAAAGTCACTAGAGCAACACAGCAAGAACACAATGGACTGCAGCAGCTACACAGCATAGACAGAATGGAATTCATTGTCCAAAAATGAATAGAGCAACAACACAATGGTATGGAGCAGCAACAGAGACTGGCATACTGGAATGGTGCAGCCAAGAATATATAGAGCAACAGTGCAACAACACGATGGATTGCAACAGAATGGACAGTAAGGAATAGTACAGCAACCCTGATATGGTATGATACCGCCAAGAAAGAATAGGGCAACCGAGCAAGAACTTAATGGAATGATGCAGCAACACAAATATGGAATGGCAGAGCAAAGAATAAACAGAGCATGGACTGAATGGAATGGTACAGCAGCCCAGATGTGGAATGGTGCAGCGAGAAATGAATAGAACAGAGCAAGAACATAATGGAATGGAGCAGCAACCCTGATATGGTATGGTGCAGCCAAGAAAGAATAGGGCAACCGAGCAGGAACTTAATGTAATGCAGCAGCAACCTCAATGTGGTATGGTGCAGGAACCCAGTTATGAAATGGTACTTCCGAAAATGAACAGAGCAAGAACACAGTGGAATGGTCCGGCGTGAAATGAACAGAACACAGCAAGAACATAATGGTATAGAGCAGCAACCCAGATATGGAATGGTGAAGACAAGAAGGAACAGAACATGGACTGAATGGGATGGTGCAGCAAGAACATAATGTAATGGTGCAGCCAAGAAAGGATACAGCAACTACACAAGGGAATTGAGCAGCAACAGAGGATGGACAGAATGGAATGCTACAGCAATAAAGATATGGAATGGTGCAACCAAGAATGGAATAGAGAAACACGACAAGAGCACAATGGATTGGATCAGCAACAGAGCATGATCGGAATGGTGCAACCAAGAAAGAATAGCGCAATAGAGCAAGGACACAATGCAATGGATCAGCAATACAGTATGGTGAAACTAAGCAGCAGTTCCGATGTACTGAAAAGTTGCAGCCCGAAATGAATGGAACAAACAGCAATGATAAAAAGCAATGAAGCAGAAAACTGGTTATTATGAATGAAGTGACCGGCTTGGTATGGTGTACAAGGACAAGAATGGTAAGTTCAAATCTTCTTAGATTTTGCAGGGACATGGACAATGAAGCTGCAAACAAAAGTGTGATGAAGTGGTGCACGCCAGAAATAAGTAGTACAGTAGCATGATGGAATGTAGCAGCAACCCAGATATGATGAAATGATTCGCCAAAGATTGGAATGGAGTAACAGAGCAAGTCTAGGATGGAGCAGCAACCCAGATATTGAATGGTACAGCCCAAAGTCACTAGAGCAACACAGCAAGAACACAATGGACAGCAGCAGCTACACAGCATAGACAGAATGGAATTCATTGTCCAAGGATGAATAGAGCAACAACACAATGGTATGGAGCAGCAACAGAGACTGGACATACTGGAATGGTGCAGCAATGGAGATACGGACTGGTGCAGCCAAGAATATTTAGAGCAACATTGCAAGAACAAGATGGACTGCAAGAGAATGGACAGTATGGAATTGTACAGCAACTCTGATATGGTATGATACAGCCAAGAAAGAATAGGGCAACCGAGCAAGAACAATGGAATGATGCAGCCACCCAAGTATGGAATGGTGGAACCAAGAATGAACAGAGCATGGACTGAATGGAATGGTGCAGCAACACAGATATGAAATGGTGCATCCGAAAATGAACAGAGCAAGAACATATTGGAATGGAGCAGCAACCCAGATATGGAATGGTGCAGCCAAGAATGGATACAGCAACTACACAAGGGAATCGAGCAGCAACATAGGATCGACAGAATGGAATGCTACAGCAATCAAGATATGGAATGGTGCAGCCAAGAATGGAATAGAGAAACACGACAAGAGCACAATGGATTGGATCAGCAACAGAGCATGATCGGAATGGTGCAGCCAAGAAAGAATAGTGCAATAGAGCAAGGACACAATGGAATGGATCAGCAATACAGTATGGTGAAACTAAGCAGCAGTTCCGATGTACTGAAAAGGTGCAGCCCGAAATGAATGGAACAAACAGCAATGATAAAAGGCAATGGAGCAGAAAACTGGTTATTATGAATGAAGTGACCGGCTTCGTATGGTGTACAAGGACAAGAATGGTAAGTACAAATCTTCTTAGATTTTGCAGGGACATGGACAATGAAGCTGCAACCAAAGTGTGATGAAGTGGTGCACGCAGAAATAAGTAGTACAGTAGCATGATGGAATGTAGCAGCAACCCAGATATGATGAAATGATTCGCCAAAGATTGGAATGGAGTAACAGAGCAAGTCTAGGATGGAGCAGCAACCCAGATATTGAATGGTACAGCCCAAAGTCACTAGAGCAACACAGCAAGAACACAATGGACTGCAGCAGCTACACAGCATAGACAGAATGGAATTCATTGTCCAAAAATGAATAGAGCAACAACACAATGGTATGGAGCAGCAACAGAGACTGGCATACTGGAATGGTGCAGCCAAGAATATATAGAGCAACAGTGCAACAACACGATGGATTGCAACAGAATGGACAGTAAGGAATAGTACAGCAACCCTGATATGGTATGATACCGCCAAGAAAGAATAGGGCAACCGAGCAAGAACTTAATGGAATGATGCAGCAACACAAATATGAAATGGCGTAGCCAAGAATGAACAGAGCATGGACTGAATCGAATGGTGCAGCAATCCAGATGTGGAATGGTGCAGCGAAAACTGAATACAACAGAGCAAGAACATAATGGAATGGAGCAGCAACCCAGTTATGTTATGGTGCAGTCAAGAAAGAATGGGGCAACTGAGCAAGAACTTAATGGAATGCAGCAGCAACCCAAGTATGGAATGGTGGAGCCAACAATGAACAGAGCATGGACTGAATGGGATGGTGCAGCAACCCAGATATGAAATGGTGCAGCCAGGAATGGATACAGTAACTCCACAAGGAAATCGAGCAGCAACAGAGGATGGACAGAATGGAATGCTACAGCAATCAAGATATGGAATGGTACAGCCAAGAATGAAATAGAGAAACACGACGAGCACAATGGATTGGATCAGCAACAGAGCATGATCGGAATGGTGCAACCAAGAAAGAATAGTGCAATAGAGCAAGGACACAATGGAATGGATCAGCAATACAGTATGGTGAAACTAAGCAGCAGTTCCGATGTACTGAAAAGGTACAGCCCGAAATGAATGGAACAAACAGCAATGATAAAAGGCAATGGAGCAGAAAACTGGTTATTATGAATGAAGTGACCGGCTTCGTATGGTGTACAAGGACAAGAATGGTAAGTACAAATCTTCTTAGATTTTGCAGGGACATGGACAATGAAGCTGCAACCAAAGTGTGATGAAGTGGTGCACGCAGAAATAAGTAGTACAGTGGCATGATGGAATGTAGCAGCAACCCAGATATGTTAAAATGATTTGCCAAAGATTGGAATGGAGTAACAGAGCAAGTCTAGAATGGAGCAGCAACCCAGATATGGAATGGTACAGCCCAAAGTCACTAGAGCAACACAGCAGGAACACAATGGACAGCAGCAGCTACACAGCATAGACAGAATGGAATTCATTGTCCAAGGATGAATAGAGCAACAACACAATGGTATGGAGCTGCAACAGAGACTGGACATACTGAAATTGTGCAGCCAAGAATATATACAGCAACAGTGCAAGAACATTATGGACTGCAAGAGAATGGACAGTATAGAATAGTACAGCAACCCTGATGTTGTATGATACAGCCAAGAAAGAATAGGGCAACCATGCAAGAACTTAATGGAATGATGCAGCAACACAAATATAGAATGGCGGAGCGAAGAATGAACAGAGCATGGACTGAATGGAATGGTACAGCAGCTCAGATGTGGAATGGTGCGGCGAGAAATGAATAGAACAGAACAAGAACATAATGGAATCGAGCAGTTACCTAGTTAATGTATGGTGCAGCCAAGAAAGAATAGGGCAGCCGAGCAAGAACATAATGGAATACAGCAGTAACCCAAGTATGGAACAGAATGGAATGGTGCAGCAACCCAGATATGAAATGCTGCATCCGAAAATGAACAGAGAAAGAACGCAGTGGAATGGTGCGGCGAGAAATGAATAGAAAAGAGCAGGAACTTAATGGAATGCAGCAGCAACCCAGGTATGAAATGGTGCATCTGAGAACGAACAGATCAAGAACCCAGTGGAATGATCTGGCGAGAAATGAATAGAACAGAGCAAGAACATATTGGAATGGAGCAGCAACCCAGATATGGAATGGTGAAGACAAGAAGGAACAGAGCATGGACTGAATGAGATGGTGCAGCAACCCATATATGAAATGGTGCGGCCAGAAATGAATAGAACAATAGTGCAAGAACATAATGCAATGGAACAGCAACCCAGATATGGTATAATGCAGTCACCTCGATATGGAATGGTGCAGCCAAGAATGGATACTGCAACTACACAAGGGAATCGAGCAGCAACAGAACATTGACAGAATGGAATGGCGCAGCAATCAAGATATGGAATGGTGCAGCCGAGAATGGATACTGCAACTCCACAAGGGAATCGAGCAGCAACAGAGCATTGACAGAATGGAATAAAGAAACACGAGGACAATGGATTGGATCAGCAATAGAGCATGATCAGAATAGAATGGTGCAGCCAAGAAAGAATAGTGAATGAAGTTACAGGCTTGGTATGGTGTAGAAGGACAAGAATGGTTTTGCAGGGACATGGACAATGAAGCTGCAACCAAAGTGTGATGAAGTGGTGCATGCAGAAATAAATAGTACAGTGGCATAATGGAATGTAGCAGCAACCCAGATATGATGAAATTGAAAAGCAGACCAGTTATGATGAAATGGTTCGCCAAAAATTTGAAAGGAGTAACAGCGAAATTAGATAAAGCAATAGAGCCAGTATAGAATGGAGCAGCAACACAGCAGGAACACAATGGACTGCAGTAGCTACACAGCATGGACAGAATGGAATTCATTGTCCAAGAATGAATAGAGGAACAACACAATGGTATGGAGCAGCAACAGAGACTGGACATACTGGAATGGTGCAGCAATGAAGATATGAAATGGTGCAGCCAAGAATATATAGAGCAACAGTGCAAGAACACGATGGACTGCAAGAGAATGGACAGTATGGAATAGTACAGCAACCCTGATATAGTATGATAAAGCCAAGAAAGAATACGGTAAATGTGCAAGAACTTAATGGAATGGTGCAGCAACATAAATATGAAATGGCGGACCCAAGAATGAACAGAGCATGGACTAAATGGAATGGTGCAGCAACCCAGATGTGGAATGGTGCGGCAAGAAATGAATAGAACAGAGCAAGAACATAATGGAATGGTGAAGACAAGCATGAATAGCGCATGGACTGAATAGGATGGTGCAGCAACCCAGATACGAAATGGTATGGCCAGAAATGAATAGAACAACAGTGCAAGAACATAATGCAATGGAACAGCAACCCAGATATGGTATGGTGCAGTCACCTCGATATGGAATGGTGCAGCCAAGAAAGAATAGTGCAATAGAGCAAGGACAAAATGGAATGGATCAGCAATACAGTATGGTGAAACTAAGCAGCAGTTCCGATGTACTGAAAAGGTACAGCCCGAAATGAATGGAACAAACAGCAATGATAAAAGGCAATGGAGCAGAAAACTGGTTATTGTGAATGATGCATGGACTTCAGTGAATGAAGTGACACACCTTGGTATGGTTTAGAAGGACAAGAATGGTTCAAATCTTCTTAGATTTTGCAGGGACATGGACAATGAAGCTGCAACCAAAGTGTGATGAAGTGGTACACGCAGAAATAGTAAAGTGGCATGATGGAATGTAGCAGCAACCCAGATATGATGAAATGGTTCGCCAAAAATTTGAATGGAGTTACAGCACAAGTAGATTAAGCCAGTATAGAATTGAACAGCAACAGAGCAAGAACTCAGTGGACTGCAGCAGCTACACAGCATGGACAGAATGGAATTCATTGTCCAAGTATGAATAGAGCAACAACACAATGGTATGGTGAAGCCACAGAGCCTGGACAGAATGGAATGGTGCAGCCAAGAATGAGTAGAATAACAGATCAAGAATACAACCGACTATCACAGTAACAGACCATGGGCAGAATGGAATGGTACAGTAACCAAGATATGGAATGATGCAGCCAAGAATGAATCTAGCAACAGGACAAGAGCATCAATGGATCAGCAATAGTGCCTGGAGAAATGGAATGGTACAATGAAGAATAAATAGAGCAACAGTGCAAGAACATGATGGACTGCAACAGCATGGACAGAATGGAATGATGCAGCCCAGAAAGTATTGGGCAACCAAGCAAGAACTTAATGGAATGGAGCAGCAACCCAAATATGAAATGGTGCAGCCAGAAATGAATAGAACAACCGTACAAGGACATGGAATGGATCAGCAATACAGTATGGTGAAATTGACCAGCAGCTCTGATGAAATGAAAACGTGCTGCATGAAATGAATGGTGCAAAGAGCAATGGTAAAAGGCAATGGAGCAGAAAACTGGTTATTGTGAATGATGCATGGACTTCAGTGAATGAAGTGACAGGCTAGGTTTGGTGTAGAAGGACAAGAATTGTAAGTTCAAATCTTGTTAGATTTTGCAGGGACATGGACAATGAAGTTGCAACCAAAGTGTGA